GCAGCGCGCGCCGCCCTCCTCCCACCAGTTCCTGCCCGCGCAGCGGCTCCAGGCGGAGCGCATCCAGCGTCAGCAGGAGCTCGAGGCCCCGCAGACGCCGCACGGGGAGGGGGCGGGCGACCTCTCAGGAGCAACATGAGGGGGGAGACAGCCTCCTCCTCCTCCTCCTCCTCCTCCTCCTCCTCCTCCTCCTCCTCCTCCTCCTCCTCCTCCTCCTCCTCCTCCTCCTCCTCCTCCTCCCCCTCGAGGCTCGACGTTCAAGGCTTTCAGGCGTTGTCGTCCGTCCTCGGCGGTTTTCACCAGCCCCGGGATGCGCTCCAGCAGCTGCGCCTCGCCGAGAGCGCTCTGGGGTTAAGTAGGGCATGTCCCTCTAGAGGAGAATATTCAAACATATTACAGAAATAGTCTGGGGACGATTTTAGGACTATATTCGGCTATGTTTGAAAATTTTAATTTTTCGTTCAAAAACCGCCTGTAGGACGACATGCCCGACCTAACTCGGGGGGGTGCTGGAATCGTCCCGAGCGGCCGCCAGAGGGCCGGGCTGTGGCCCGAACAATTGGGGGCAGCATAAAGGGAGAGGAGCGGCACAGGGGGAACGGCATCGACCCCCCATAGCCCACCCATTGCCGATGTGGCTCGATCTCCTCCTCCTCCTCCTCCTCCTCCTCCTCCTCCTCCTCCTCCTCCTCCTCCATCTTCTCCTCCCCCCCCTCCTCCTCCTCCTCCTCCTCCTCCTCCTCCTCCTCCTCCTCCTCCTCTCTTCCTCCTCCATCTTCTCCTCCTCCTCCTCCTCCTCCTCCTCCTCTCCTCCTCCTCCCCTCCTCCGTCTCCGCCTCCTCCCTCTCCTCCTCCTCCTCCCCTCCTCCTCCTCCTCCTCCTCCTCCTCCTCCTCCTCCTCCTCCTCCGCCTCCTCCTCGCAGCATCCGCCTGTGGATTCGCAGCTGGGTGCCCATCACAGCTCTCATCGGCGATGTATCGCCGATTCCAGCTCGATGTGTTTCCCATCCCCTGAGCCGGTCACCACCCCCCCGCAACGTCGCGTCCCCCCTCGCCTTGGGGGGGCCCTAAACCTCGCCATGAAGCGCACGAGTCCTGAGGGAAGGCAGCCCTGACGTTTGTCGCCGTTTGCGAACTTTTTCGGGCCCCCCCCTCGGGGGGCCTGGGGCCGCACAGAACGAGTCGGGATGAGGTGCTGGTCCTGGGGAAGGCCCCCTGGGGTGGTTCAGGACCCGTTGGTTCATGCCAGTAATTTTATCGGATAGCCACGAATTTCAAAGCAAATCCCAGAGATTTCGGCGGACAAGCTCCCGAGACTGGTAGGAACAGGCCGCCGCGAAACTGGCAAGAGCAGGCCAATTCGGTTGGCGAGAACAAGCCTCTGGATCTGGTGAGAACAGGCACCCTGAAGCTCATGGGGCGCTCCAGACAGGCCTTGCCTTCAAGGATCGAAGACGCTCACATCTCTTCCTCGGCGGAAGGCGGCGGAAGCCAAAGGGGGCGACGTTTCTCGTCTGCGGAAGCTTGGCGGAAGGCGGGGGAAGCAAAACCAGGGGGGAAAAACAATGGCATGAGCAGAACTTGTCGGAGGTCCGCACCGATTTCTCGGATCGGTGCCGGAGCACCCTGGCGGCGCGGAACCGGTCCTGAGGGCAGGGCTTGACTCTTGGACGGTGTGCTGGCGGCTTCGAGGGCCGTGTTCGTTTTGGGGTCGTTTCTTGCGGCAGAGGCGGAGCGAAGACAGAGCGAGGGAGAACGAAGACAAAAAACGACAACAGAGAACACTGTTTTAGGTCGAGCCCTGGCGGCGGAGGGGAGAGGCGCCCCAGGGGGCCCTCGAGAGCGGCAGGGGAGGCAGAAGAGCGCGGGTGCGTAGCCTTAAGTCGGGCCTGTCCCTCTACAGGAGGAATATTCAAAAATAGTCACAAAAAAGTCAGGGGACGATCGTTGGATTATTTTTGGCTATTTCGCCGCATATGTATATTTTCATTCTTCGTCCAAAATCCGCCCGTAGGAGGACATAACCGACCGAAAGGTAACCTCGAGCTCCGGCCCCCACCCCCCCAACAAAAACATGGGGCAGCGACGATCTTGCGCCCCGTCGCGGCGGAAGAATTCTCACAGAGGGTGCCCTCGAGGGCGCGAAGGGATCTGCACACTCGCGGTTCGGCTCCGGTGCCTCTTCGTGCGCCTCTTCTCCCGGGGGGGGGGGGCACTGCACGAGTCCTGCAGGGCACCGGGGTGCAAACCCGACTTGTCTGGCTGATGCTCTTCAGGAGCGAAAGGAGGACGTACACGTACATGAATCCACGCTGGTTTGGAGAGTTCGCATTGCGCGAATGTTCGAATCACGCGGCCGGTCTCGCGGGTCAAGGGGTCTTGTTCATGTGCATAGCTGGGCGCGTACGTCCTTTGTGGGCTCCCTAGCTCTGGGGGGGCCCGTGCTCCTGGGAGGCTGCAGCGCCGCTCGGCGATGTGCTACCGGCCAAGCCTGAAGGGCCGGCCCTCTCCGTTTCTCCGTGCACTCGAGCTCTGGCTTCGGCTTCCGCTGTGGGTGCATCGTGAAGCGCCTTCGGGCCAGCTCACCCGAGCCGGATTTTCCGCTCGCACGGGGGCTCCCCGCCCCCCCCCCTGGGGGGCGGCGCGAGAGCCCCGAGTTCTTCGCGCTCTCGCGCAGCGCCAAGCGCGAAGATGGGCGCCCTGGACTTGGAGGGGGGACATGCAGGAGGGGGACCTGGCGGGGGAGGGGGAGGAGGAGGAGGAGGAGGAGGCGGAGGAGGAGGAGGAGGAGGAGGAGGAGGAGGAGGAGGAGGAGGAGGGGGAGGCGGAGGAGGAGGAGGAGGAGGATCGAGGAGGATCGAGGATGTGCAAGCAAAAGGGTCGCGGAGCAGCGGCGGGTCTCGTTCCCATGCGTCTGCTGGCGCGCGCCGTCGCCGGAGCGGGCGGTCCTGGCCTCACGTTTGGGGGGGGGGGGGGGGGGCTTCCCCGACCTGTGGATTTGGCACCAGCGCGCCAGATCTACCCATCGGTCGTTGAGAGTAGGTATTTTGGGATTTCCAGATTCCAATATACTGTCAGCGCCTTCCTACTTCAAGAGTCGAGTGGTGTTCCCTCTTCCTTCCTCTTCAGGAGGCGTGCGGAAACCCAATCTATTTCCAACGCCTTCCTACTTCATGTTTCTACCTACTTCTTCCGACCGATGGGTACGGGTCCCTGACCCATGCTGGAGGACGAGGGCGGAGGAGGGTGAGCAGAGAGGACCAGGGGAAGGAGGAGGCCGAAGTGTTGGGATGGATGTGATGTAACCATGCGGACTCTCTCTCTCTCTCTCTCTCTTCTTGCGCTGCGCGTCTGGCAGTACCCCCGACGCCCATGAATTGCATGTCACGTGCTATACAATGAGCTCACACGTTCTCTTGCTCAATGCTCCTTGTGTGCATTCCCCAGTCTACACCGAATGCCGCAGCATCATTGTGATGTATCAGCACATGAGCGACGCGAAAAACAATGGAGTCGTTTGCGCCGACCTTGGCGCGTAAGTTGCCTGCGTACGGTCGCGCGTAAGCGCCCTCGTCTGGAATGTGGCGCGCCGCGCTGGCGACCCGCGTAAGCCACCGCGTAAGGTCAATGTGCCATCTCGCGTACGACCCGCTTCTATTGTTTGTTCACAGGTTGATTTGTTTACGTGTGGGCGAGTTGTTTTTGATCTGCTGAGCTAATTTTGAATTGTGTTCGTTGGTCTTGCTTGCCGAGTTGGTTGCGGTGTCAATCATACGTTTGCATATGTTCGCACGTTCTGGGGATGTCGTACCCCCTCCTGGTCGACCAGGATGATCAATTTGCTTACTGTAGATTGTCTTCAAGTTCGACTCGCGTAGTGTAGCGGACAGTCAGGGAGCATAGAAGTCTCATTCAGTTGTCAAGGGGGGTCTGAGAGTATACATTCTCACTTGTAGCGTTGCCAGTGATTCTTCTTCATAAGAGGGCACATGACGACCTACTGTCATCTGTCCCCCTCTCCTCCTCCCCCACATCCCTCCTGTCCCCCTCTTCCAAACTTCGCGCTGTTCTGACTGTCTACATCCTCGTATCCCTTCTCAAAGTCTACGGGCGATTCTGGATCGTGCGATTGCGTTGTTGTTATCGTGCCAGGCCGAACGCGAACGGTCTGAGCAGATCATCCAGGAGCGCCGCTTCTTGCTTGCAGTTCATGATTGTACGGACGCGTTTGAGGTTGAATGATGAGTGCATCCTGTAGTACGCAGCTCATGTTGAGGGTGCCTCGCGTCAGCCTTGTCCAGCTATCCAACCTCATGGTATGTTTCCCCTCCTCGTCTTTCCCCCGCAGCCTCCCACCCCCGCCCCCCCTCGTAAGCCATCCCTCGTCCCACACGCCTTCCTCTCCCATCGGCCCTCCGTCCCCTCCCCTCCCCTGGGGGCTCTTTCGAGCCGCTCGTGGCGCCAGCCGCCATGTACGGATGCAGCGCGTCGGGGCTCTTACCAAAGACACTGACCCACACGCTGCAGCGCGGACGCAGCGACCGCGGCTCAGAATTTATAGTTGGCACGGGCAGGCGGTGCGCGCTCAGCAGCCCCTGAGCACAACGAGACAGCGAGCCATCCGACCGGCAGCCCCGAGGCCGCGCGGAGAAAACCAGTCTATAGAGGCCGCGACGCCCGAGAGCAGCTCCAATGGTAACAGCCGGAGCAGCGACAACGACAGCAGGTTACAGTTCTGACGGCAGCACTGCGGAGGCCCGGGTTGGCTCCAGCAGGAGAGCAGCGCACGCTGCCAACGCCCACGCAAAACGAAAACAAGATGAAGATCGGACCCCAGGCCACTTCACAAAAAAAGACGGTGCGGCGTGCTTGCCGCATAGCATTTTTATGTGCCGAGCAGTGGCCACGATGGGCAGCGGTTCGGGAACCCTCTGTACATGCCAAGCGCCCGACACCACGGCGCAAGGGCCCCGGCCCCCCTGTCCGAGGCGGGAATTGAT